GTGAAGTGTAACTTTGTTCTGTTCAGTTGGAAATGTGTTGTTTAATAAGTTTAGTGAATTCAGATAGTTACTTGCCACCCTCTTATTTCAGAGTAAACCAAAAGTAAATGTTGACTGACAATTTAAAAGGGGGAGATGTGATGATAGTTAGCTGCAATGATTGTGTAGGCCCACAGGGTGTCACTGTGGGCTGGTATATGCTTGAATAGCGAGGTATGCGAAAAAAGCCCATGTTAGTGAGTTGTTGAAGCAGTGCTCCGAATGGATGTTCAAATAAAACCCTTCACGAAGTCACAAATGAAAGTCTGTGAGCTTCATGACAATATGATTGCTCATTTCTTTGATGTTGCCATCACAAATTCTTGGATCCAGTACAAGTCTGACAGCATAGTGTTTAACCGATCAGAAAAAACACTCCCTGGACAGGTCGCCAATCCATCGCAGGGCTAACACATAGACGAACAACCAGACACACGCACATGCACTCCTATGGGCAATTTAGAGACACCAATCAACCTAAGCTGCATGTCTTTGGACTGTGGGAGGAAGCCGGAGTACCCGGAGAGAACCCACGCAAGCACGGGGAGAACATGCAAACTCCACACAGAAAGGTCCCAGGTGGGGCCCGAACCTGGAATCTTCTCGCTGTGAGACAACGACGCCAACCACTGTGCCACAGGTAGGCCAGTAGCGTTTTGTTCACGAACACTGACAGAGACAGAGTGACGCTACTCACAGATTGAGAAAGAATGTCTGGCAAGTGTCTAGGCATGTGAGCGCTTTGGAAGATATCTTCAAGGCATGGACAAGTTTTTGTTACAGACCGACCACAAACCACTGGTCCCCTTGATAAACTCGTTTGATCTGGATAAAGCCCCTGCGAGATGTCAGCGTTTACTAATGCGACCGATGAAGTTCAATATCGAAGCGGTACATGTTCCAGGAAAGCAGCTCATAGTTGCAGACACATTATCACGCCACCCTCTAAAAGACAACTGTTGGTCAGACATGGAGCATGACGTCAGAGCTTATGTACAGGCAGTGATATCTACAAGGCCAATAACAGCAGATCGTCTGAACGTTATCAGGGAGGCTACAAACCAGGATGTGGACCTTCAAGCTGTTGCCCGCTACACCAAAAGGGGTTGGCCTACAGAGACATCACAAATACCACACACACTGCATAAATTTCACGCTGCCAGGGCTCACCTATCAGAAGTGGAGGGACTCCTTCTGTATGATGACAGAATTGTCATTCCCCTCTCGCAACAAAAGAATGTGCTCTCTCAGATTCATGAAGAACATCAGGGTCTGACAAAGTGCCGCAGGAGAGC